AGGTTGTGTGTTCTCAAAACTAAGGAACTATTCCAAAAAATGTGGGAATGTTCTGAGCTTTTTATTACATCCAGCTCAAACAACTTATATCTCTACTCTTCTTGGCGGGGCTTCGGAATGTGAATGAAAGAAAGGGGACAAAGTGGTGAAAAATAGTCAAAAAGGGTCGTAGAGGTTCTGCCATATTAGGAGCGGAGCCTTGCTGGATGCCAATTTCCTCATAATGTCATAATTTACCTTGAGCAACCCGTCAGATAGTCTAGCGCCATCAGAACTTTGGTTCATACACAGCCTACCCCATCTCCATCACCCTATTTGAATCCCTTCTCCCTCACTTTTTTGCGCAGCATTCTCGCAGACTTGTTTACAGGCCCTTGCCTTGCATTCTTTCTTTCAAGTGGCCGTTTACAGGAATTGTACGGCACTATTTTTAGCCCGGTGGGAAAAAACTGCCTTTGTAGGCCCTGCCAAATATTTAGTCATTGAGTGAAGCCTTGACGCTGACTGGCGATGCACAGCGCTCTTCTGTAGATTTACACGTTGATTGACAAATGGACCTGAAGTTCTCAAAAGGGTGAAGGATGCAATACTCGCTGTTGATAGACCTTCGTTTGAGATGCGCCATGCATTCTATTTCCGACTAAGAACGATAGCGATTTCGTGAATGCTGTTGGACTGCGAGAACCTTGGGGGGGGGTTGAGGAGGGAGGAAGCGAAGGACGTATGAGTTCGTAGTTTTTTTTCTCTTGTGCGAGTAATATCAGTTAATTAGGCTTGAAGGAATGAAAGATTTCGTTGGCCTGGATGGTAAACAATCCAGGATTTGAGCCTCAGTCCATGCGCGCGTAAGTGGCGCTACTTGCCAATACACGAATTCGTCTTGTTTTTCGATATTCCACTACATTCGGTGATATACTAGTTTTCTCCTGTGGGCGTCAGCTCCCTCAAAAGAACCCTTAGAATTTCTTGAATTGTCTCAATCACTCGCAAACCCTCTTCCCTCTGACTGCTTCCGATCAACGGATTTCTGACCCTTAGAGTCGTACCGACCCCCTATAGGATGAGCCCCAGCTCCTTTGCACCTGTCTACGACGTCTGGTCCCTACACCTGTCGCCTAGTTTCCTGACCCTGAACCCTGCCAACGTCAAAATATCCGTGGAATGACGAGCCTTTTTATTTACCAGATTAGTCCCCCGTCAACCGCCGGGACCTTCCTTTCCTGCGCAAGCTTTCTATCCTCCGCTATGGTCCCTTCCTCCTGTGACACCAACACCTCTGGAAGTGACGCGTAT